TCTAGTTGCTGTATGTGGGACGCGGCCTCAGCATGGCCGGAGAAGCAGTGCGTCGGTGCGCGCCCGGGATCCGAACCCGGGCCGCCAGCAGCGGAGCACACTCACTTAACCGCTAAGCCATGGGGCCGGCCCAGACACTTCTTGAAGTAGTCAAGTATACACCAAAAGTAGGCATGAAAACCAAAATCTGGAAGAACAATCCTCAACAGTTTTTCCACTACAGCCCATGGTAGACAACATTCTCACATATGACATGACAGACTACAAGCCATGACACACAAGAGGGCAGGTTTGGGGTTATGTCCAACTGATGGCACATTTGCTATAATTTGATCCTTTTCTCTTGCACATCTCACAATTTAGGAACGCACCAGTGCATGTCAACTGCTGTGGGTACTGCTAATCTAGAAGATATGACAGTGACACGTTAGGTTTAGGCCCTAACATGAGGGCCAGAGAAAGACAGTGGCCATGTGCCCATGTTCTTTCTGCTTGGTGTTTAGGGGAAGACTGGGGTGCTGGTCCATATAGAGTGATGCGTCCTTTGCTGGCACAGCGATTCTTGATATCAACTTGATGCTGCTGGTCTCCACATCTGCAGCATGTTAGGGAGAGCCTAAGATTAGTTAATTTGGGCCAGGTTGGAAGCAGTGGGAATCATGTATGGAATAAAGAAAGCTTAATCCAAGGTAGTGGCCATGGGAATAAAGAGGAAGAGCTAGATCGAAAGACTTCTTGGAAGAAGAACTGACAGGACTGGATGACCAATTATATATAGCAGATGAAGGTTTACATTAAGTTAAAGAGGGGCCGGCCCCATGGCTTAGCGGTTAAGTGCGCGCACTCCGGTGCTGGCGGCCCGGGTTCGGATCCCAGGCGTGCACCGACGCACCGCTTCTCCAGCCATGCTGAGGCTGCGTCCCACATACAGCAACTAGAAGGATGTGCAGCTATGACATACAACTATCTACTGGGGCTTTGGGGAAAATAAATAAATAAATAAATTATACATTAAGTTATAGAAAATTCCAAAGATGTTCATAGCATTCACCATCCAAATAGGTGTATGAAGGGATATTTTTACTTCATATTTTACTCAAAAGAGATACATAATTTAAGGTTTTCAGCAATACTTCAATGACAGCAAGTCCTTGGCACATTTCTGTGCCTTGGTTTTCTCATCTACACAATGAGGATAATATGAATATTGCAGTTGTGAGGACTGGAGACAATGTCTGAAATGTATAAGTCTGGTTCAATAAACAGCAGTTATTATTATTATACTATTGGTTCTAATAATTCAGTGACTATAAATAAATGTTTTCAATCAGAATTATAATTCTTAGTAAAGTATATGGAAGAGATAATAATAATAAGAATAATAAGAACAGCTAACCTTTACTGGGTGCTCATTATGTGCCTATCACTATAATTAGTGCTTTACATGTACTATTTTATTTTAAATCTTTCAACATAAAGTGGGTCCTATTATTATTATCCTCACTTTACAGATGTAGAAATTGAGGTTCAAAAAGTTTAAGTGATTTGTCCAAGAAGTCCAAGGGATTTGATCAGGAGTCTCTAGACCCTTTGCTCTTAATCTCTAAGCCATACTGAGGTCAGGACAATTTCCATAAAAGGGAAGAGATCCCCAGCTAAGCATATATATTCTCTTACATAAATCTATGCTGTAAAGAACAGCTTTTTCACTGTGATAGAGGGAGAAGAGGGGAGTTCTGACTAATGTCCCTCTAAAAGGGGCCCAGAGAAAACAGATAGCTTAACTGGGCTGGGTCACAGTGTTGAAAGTGGCCCTAGTTACCAGAAAGGGACTTTCCCATCTCTGGGAATTTGCTCATGCTGTTCCATCCCCTTTTCTTTCATCTCCTCAAACTTTATTAGTTTGTTAAGGCCATGTCAAGATCCACTTCTTCCAGAATTCAACTCTCTCCTTTTCCTGACTGTCCACAGCATTTCTTGCCTGTCAAAATTCTGGCACTTTGTTAATGTTCAATTGAGTCTCGTGTGGTTATCTAAGTCTTTCCTGTGTCTAGGTCTTGCCTCCTCAGAACAACTACAATTTCCCTGAGGGGAGTTCAGGACAGTGCTTGATACACAGTCAAGGCTCCTGGAAAGCTGTCCCACCTTGTGTGCGTGTGTTTTGTAGTGTGTTCTACCCACCTTGAGAAGTTTCTCTTGCATCTCAAGGGCTTTTGCCTCTCTCTGCTCTATCCAGCAGGAAAGAGTGCGCAGGGCAGCAGCCCGTGTTGGAATCTGAGGATCATAAGCTGATAAAAGAACTTCCTGGAGCTGCTCTGTGGTTATGCTTCCAGATTTCTGATTTGTAGTGGTGCTGGGTTCACTGACCTCCTGAGGGATGAGTGGAGCATTAGATTTCAGGTCTGTCTCATTGGATTTCTCACGGCTTTGCTGTTGTGTGAGGTGGCTATGAGACACATCAGTGGATCTTTCACGACTGATTTGTTGCTGCCCTTCTATTTTCCCTTGTGGATCCTTTTTGCTCAGGGTACTCTGGGCAGCCACACTGACAGCCTCAGTGGAAAAGGCTCCGTGGGTGGAGATGGTGATGCGGAGATCAGCAGCAAGTTCTTGGATGACAGGGTCAGGGTATGTGTTGGAGACCTTCTCCAATAGAGGCAGCAACTGCTTCAGGACAGCAAAATCACTTGACTTCAACTACAAAATGAAATGAAAAATGCCAAACTCAAATTAACACAGCAGATGTTAATATGACCTGAGCATAAGGCAACATATCCTGAGCAAAAGGGGCAGGGAGCAAATCTTGTTCCTAGCGTAATCAGCTATACCAGGAACTGAATCCAGTTCCGAGTTCAGTTCCTGAGTCCAGCACTCGATGACTATTGTTAAATAATTACAGCTAACATTTATTGAATACTTACCATGTACAGGTACTTTTCTAAGTTAAAAAAAATACATCAGTAAAGCATATTATTACTCCTAATTTTTATAATCTGATGGGTAAAACATGTTACCTTATGGTTTTAATTTGTGTCAGCCAGACTAACAGTGCTTTTAAGCATCCTTCCATGTTTACTGGGTGTCTGCATTTCTTTTTCTGTGAACAGCCTGTTTACACCCTTTGTATCCACTTAGCTATTAGATTGTTTGTCTCTACAGCTATTCTTACCATGTAGATTTTAATACTCAGTCATACGGTGAAATTCTTTTCTAGATTATTTTATCTTGACTTTCATCATATCTTTTTGATTGTATTATTGTATCTTTGACTTTTATGTACCTTTTGCCATAAAAAGATAAGTTTATATTAGCAAAGTACTTAGTGCCTGACACATAGTAAGTGCTATATAAATGTTTTAAAAATAAATATGATAACCTAAAAAACACACATATTCATATCCCTATGATACAGTTTAAACATTTTCATATGTCTACATTTTAAATAGGGGGAAACTGAGGAAGAGAACAGTTAAGTAACATGTTCAAGGTCACACAACTAAAAGACAGTAAGACGTGAACTCAACAAGTCTGGCTCCAAAGTCCACACTCTTACCCAATACCCTACACGGTCTCACTCGAATGAATAAAGCTATTCTTTTTTTATTTTAGCTGAGGAAGATTCTCCCTGAGCTAACATCAGTGCCAATCTTCCTCTATTTTGTATGTGGGTCGCCACCACAGCATGGCCACTGATGAGTGGTGTAGGTCGGCGCCCAGGAACCGAACCCGGGCCGCCAAAGCAGAGCTCGCTGAACTTAACCACTAGGCCAGGGGGCCGGCCCCATAAAGCTATTCTTAACATGTGATCTAAAGTGACTGGTCAGCATACCAGGGCACCATAGGTCTGGAAAGGATTGGGACAATAATTGGCAAAAGGGAATTTCTCCTAGAAAGTAGGAGTGAAAATTACATAAGATTTAATTCTCTCCAGAAGCTTTGTTCCAATAATGCCATATGTCTGACTAGGAAAGGCACATGTGCAATCAGTAGAGAAACAAGAATCAGTGGTAATCCTTTTCTGTTTGAAAATACTAGAAAAATTATCATATGAGGCTTCATGAGGGCCTGACAATTTGAAAACCTTTCGGGTCTTAAATCCTTTTTAGAACAAGGCAGGGTATTTATTACTTACTCATTCACTCACTTCATTATCCAACCAAAAAACCAATTAACCAACTGTTTTTGTAGGACCTAGATAATGTTCTCATTTTACACTATAAGTCCACAGAATTGTTATTATTCACTTTCCCCACCACTTTCCTCCCAAGTAAATGAAAACTTGAGGTATATGTCAGGTTTGTACCTGGAGAATTTCACCATACACTCCCCTCAGATTTCTTTGTTTAAACAATTAGGAACTAATGCAAAATTGACATAGGGTACAATTCCTAGCTCCACAACATGTCAGTTTATCTTCACGTATAAAACAACTGACCCTTCTGATGTTACTATATCTTAAGGTGAAAAAAGAATATGTATGTCTAGAGTAAAGGTATATGTTATCTAAGAAAAGGGTCAATTTTATCAGGAATCTACATGGAACTGGAGAAGACATTTTAGAATAATTTTGCCAGTATTATTATTATGTTAGACTTCACTCAGTGCCTCTGTAGTATCATGGACCTTTGGTTTTCTTTAAGCATCTTAAATGGGAATATCTACTTAAATCTACAGTATATGGCCTCTTTTTTTATTTCTATTATATACAACAATTTCATCTTAAAAAAAAACTAAGACAAATAGACCAATGAAACAGAAGAGAGAGACCAGAAATAGACCCACATAAATATAGTCAACTGATCTTTGACAAAGGAGCAAAGGCAATACAATGGAGAAAGATAGACTTTTCAACAGATGGTGCTGGAAATGGACATTCACATGCAAAAAAAAAAAAAGAATCTAGACATAGACCTTAAACCATCACAAAAATTAACCCAAAATTCATCATAGACCTAAATGTAAAATGCAAAACTATAAAATTCCTACAAGATAACATAGGAGAAAATCTAGACGACCTTGGGTATGCTGATGACTTTTTAAGATAAAATACCAAAGAAAAGAAATCCACGAAAGAAATAATTGATAAGCCGGACTGCATTAAAATTAAAAACTTCCTTTGGGGCTGGCCCCGTGGCTTAGCGGTTAAGTGCGCGCGCTGCGCTGCCAGCAGCCCGGGTTCGGATCCCGGGCGCACACCGACGCACCGCTTCTCCGGCCATGCTGAGGCCGTGTCCCACATACAGCAACTAGAAGGATGTGCAGCTATGACATACAACTATCTACTGGGACTTTGGGGGAAAAAATGAATAAATAAAATTATTAAAAAAAACAAAAAAAACAAAAAAAACCTTCCACTCTGCAAAAGACAATGTCAAGAGAAAAAGAAGACAAGTCACAGACTAGGAGAAAATATTTGCAAAAGACACATCTGATAAAGGACAATTATCCAAAATATACAAAGAACTCTAAAACTCAACAATAAGAAAAATAACTCAATTAAAAAATGGGCAGAAGACCTGAACAGACACTTCACCAAAGATGGCAGATAAGAATATGAAATAAGAATATGAAAATATGCTCCACATCTTATGTCATCAGGGAACTGCAAATTAAAACAATGAGATAGGGCCGGCCCTGTGGCTTGGTGGTTGAGTGTGCGCGCTGCGATGCTGGTGGCCCGGGTTCGGATCCCGGGTGCGCATCGAGGCACCACTTCTC